TGTCTGAATTCCAACAAGCACTGTTGTTTCCCAAAAAAAACCAGCCAGCTCAATTCAAAGCTTTGCTGCGTTTTCCTAAAAAAATTTAATTCTTGAAAAAAGAAACCTGTTTGTCAAAGAAAAAAAACTAGAAAGATAAATCAAAGGCATATGCCAGTACTTCTCTCTCACTTTCATACAGGGTGTGATTTGAAGATCTAATATTGTCTTTGGGCCAAGAGTCTTTTGGATATAGCCACACACCCAACCCCCCCCCCCATAGTGAATCCAAAATCTCTGATGGGATTTAATTTTTTGTTACTAGGCTACGGGCAGGGGACTATGATGTAAAGACCCCTTACGCGAGGTGTGAGGGTAGTGTGAACTTGTGTCTCTCGTCCTCCCTCCTCTTGCCCAGGAAGGGGGTGTCGACAGTCACTGCCACCACACTGAACCCATTCTTCTCAGCCCTCCTCACCACATCTAATGTGGCCTCCAGGTCCCTAAACATCATTTAAACTACCATCATAAATCATCCAATGAGGATGGTCTTAAGGCTACAAAAAAAGTAAAACAAGACTGTTCGAATATCAACGAAAAGCCTTGGGTAGTCCGACTGCACTAAAAGGCCAATCAACAAGATTTTTGCTAGAAAAATTGACGAATTTATAGAAAAAAGTTTTTTTTTTTCATTTTTTCTTCGTTTTATCCCCCTAACGCTATTGTAAATTGTATCCCGATATTAAGACCAGATCGGCCAAATGAGCAATTTTCAACCCATAAATTATAACAAGTAAAAAATAATAACAAGTGAATTTTTTACATTTGAGCTCGCCAACAATTTCTTTCAGATGGTATACAATACGCAAAAAATCGTCAAGAACGCTTTATTGAAAAACTCGAAATTTGACTGAATAAAATGAACATCCTAAGCATAAACATTCCGCTTTTTCTTCAAAAGTCGGAGCAGAAATCAAGAATACTGATCTAAAGTAAATCAATTTACCAGTTTTTTTCCAATAATTAAAAAAATTATCGCTGCCAAGGTGAATGCATTCACCTTGGCAGCGATGCTTTTTTTAATTATTGAAAAAACTGGTAAATTGATTTACTTTAGATCAGTATTCTTGATTTCTGTTCCGGGGGATCTCCTCAAATAAAATCTAGAAGCTAACGCAGAAATAGCGTTTAAACCTAAATTTTTCCCCGAAAGCTGATACAACACATTCGATAGTTTTTCCCGAAAGATTAATACGTTCGAAAGTTTCTTGTCTGATGTTGTTGAGTTTCAAAAATATCAATAGGATCAATGAATTAGATGTTTTCGAATCTGGTTCTCGATTAACTCACTCTCTGAGAATTCTTGCGGTTCCCTCGCTGTAGTTACGCACGCTCATCACTTGAGCTGAATAGCTCTCTGTCGACATCTCAAGGTAATGTAAATTGAATTAACTGTAAATTATTAAACTGTAAATTGAAATAACTATAGTCAGGGGCGGATTTAGGGGGGGGGGGGCGGGGGGGGGGGGGGGCGGACGCCCCCTCCTCAGGGATTCGACCCCCTGCCAACCCAAAGGGTCCCCCCTTTGGTACTTTTTAAGAAATCCATTTTTGGCCGACCAACCCTAAAATTTTTCTAAAGGCGCCTTCGGCGCCAATATATACTTATTTTGAGGGGGAGCGCGCGCCAAAAAAAACGCGATTTTTTTGTCAAAATTTTCCAAAAAGTGCCCAAAAACGGCTTTTTTGACCTGGTTTTTCAAAAAATTGCCTGCGGCGCAGAAAATTTGGCCAAAACAGGGTCTTTTTATTGCTTTGGGAGAGCTCGGAAAACCAATCTGATCGACCTAAAAAAAAAAAAAAGGTCGTCAAAATTTTCGAAAATTTTTTGAAAATCCGCCCCCCCCTCGAGAAAATCCTAGATCCGCCCCTGACTATAGTAGTAACTAAACCTTCGGCGCCAATATATACTTATTTTGAGGGGGAGCGCGCGCCAAAAAAAACGCGATTTTTTTTGTCAAAATTTTCCAAAAAGTGCCCAAAAACGGCTTTTTTGACCTGGTTTTTCAAAAAATTGCCTGCGGCGCAGAAAATTTGGCCAAAACAGGGTCTTTTTATTGCTTTGGGAGAGCTCGGAAAACCAATCTGATCGACCTAAAAAAAAAAAAAGGTCGTCAAAATTTTCGAAAATTTTTTGAAAATCCGCCCCCCCCTCGAGAAAATCCTAGATCGGCCCCTGACTATAGTAGTAAATCAGTTCAAGTTTAATTATCAATGATTCGTTAAGGTTAGCAGAAATGCCTAATTTTAATGATGCAATACCAGGCAGTAAAAGTGTTGGTGTATTTTGCAAATTTATTTAAAAAACTAAACAACATGGTAACTATCCGAATACAATTTTTTATGGTTATCATCGGCTATTAATGGTCACTAATTATGGTTCGAAAGATGTAATGCGCGTTTCATAAAATATGGTCAGCGTTCGCAAAAATTGATATCGTCATAGATTTGATAAATAATTGGTGTATATTTCTGAAAAATGTCTGGACATAGAGAACGAGTCTGGTGCAAACATCCGATATGTCAAACATCCGCTACGTCAAACATACGAACTTATATAATAATTATGTAATCATATGACGTTAGAATCTCAAAAACAAGACATAGTTTAATTATTCGATTCCAACTTAGCCGATTCTCGATTTAAGGTCACCGGTGGGCGCGCTACGGCGATAATCGGCTCTAATTTTCATATAGAGTCCTACCCTCTGTTTGCAAGCTCGCAGCACGTTGGCGCGACCGCGGCGATCCGCCTTCAATCGACCAGTATAGCATCTGCTAAACGAACGGTAGAAATCGGATCTTTGCACTTTTGAACTAGTAAAGATGTTTTTGGATGTTTGCAGCACTTTTTGGTTTTTCGGATGTTTGCCATATCTGATGTTAAAACGGTACCCATAGCGAACAATCAGGGAGGAATAATTAATGCAAATAAGAAGGACACGTACTTGTAGATATATAGCTGCAGCCACCTGTGCAAAGTGGGCACTTCTTCTGCTATGGTCTCCAAAGCCACTGTAGTCAGAGTACTCAGTGCCATCAGAGTCCCTAATCAAAAAGGAGGATATCTTTAACGTTTTCTACCTCCGCCCCCATGGAACCGTGTAACGAATTGCCACCCCATAAAGGTCTAATTCAACGGTTAGCATAAGAATTTTGTACTAGTGAACGAGTCTCCCCCTTTTGCAAAAAAAACAGGGGGAAGATATTTAAAAAAATTATAATCAGTAAAATCATCATCATGAAACCAGCATTTACTTTCTACTTTGACATTTCTCACCGTAAAATATTAATAACTAACCAATTATAATCCATGACTAAAAAATACGATAAATTGTGAAGCTGAAACTATTCATAGTTTCATTCAGAGAACTAAAAACAAAGATTGAGCTCAACATTCAGTTTAGCAACCAAAGCATTTATATTGCAAAAAGATCTCATCCAGGAAACCCGAGAGGACCTCGTAATAACATCTCATCAACAAAGGATAGAATATTATCAACTCGAAAAAACAATCAAAAAGAGAACTTTTCTGTACAAACAAAAACAAATCCTAAAAAATTGTTTTTCAAGGAAACGTAACTCAATTTCAAAATTTGACAAAACAAGCATACATAACCTGGAAAATCTCCAAGCTCAAATAACCAACCAACAATTACAAAAAAATCAAATAAAGACATTTTCCGATTCCTAATCAAAAACAGCATCATCCACCAAAAGTAAACGGAGAACTTAAAAAAAATTATAACAAAAATCAGTACGAACATACACTTGGAATCAACCTCTAAGGCATTTCGAAAAATACACAATAACAGTAATAACACTCCATAAAAAATTATTCAATACGACAATAATTTTCAGGATGACTTATTCTTAACCATGCGTCATACACCCCAATAGTTATCCATCAGGCGGACCAGTACAATTTTTTAGTTACACATCAGGCAGACCACTACAACCTCATTATAATTTTTTTCGATAAGTTAACAGTCCCTGCAGAGAATAACTCCCAGAAGTAATAAATAAAAAGACATTTGATTGACTATTATCTACCAATTCTCTGCAACATAATCTCGCAATATGGAATATTCACAATCGAAATTCACCAGAACAATATACGCAAAATCCACATAAACAAGAAAAAAGCTGACTGAGAACTAAGTATTTTAAAAGTTTTCATAAAACATAATAAAAATACACCACATCAAAATTAACAACGAGGAAATTAGATATTCACAAATGATGTCTTTACAATAATTGATAGTTGTCTCCATCTTAGACACAGACGAAGTATTTTTTGTATCACCACCACAAACATCGTGACACACAGCAGCAAGAACTGAACTCAACTCAATATTTTCAAGATTGTTAGACTCAGTTTCCAAAAAATTCACTGATACAGAAGTGTCGTAAATATAAAAAACAAATCTTTAAAAATTTTTTAACAAGGTTTATATTCAACTATTTTGAACATCTTAACATAGGCCTCATAGCCTAATCAACAAACAAAATCGTGCAAAATGCGACAAAGATGCAATTTTATCAGATGAAACATAATATGTTTGAGGCCCCGATTGATATTCTGATATGTTTATTTTAAACCAAGCGACATTTCTAGCTCAGCAATTGAAAAAGTTCACTTAAAAGCGATTTTATGAAAGCGCATATACAAGAAAATTTAAAGGTAACAACAACGCTAAATCAACAAGAGTTTCAAACATCGTCACATTTTGCAAATGAAGAAATCGTTACCACAATGCCGGCATTAATACAACAAATTATCTCACCAATACATACAAAGTTTACAAAACCACATGTTAAAACACACCGTTCTATCAATCAAAATTACAATCAACAGCTAAGCCAACCCCATATCCAATCCATCAATCAATGGATTACAGACTCATAATTAAAAAACGTTCTTTTAACAGGAAAAAATGGAAACCGTTTCGCAAACCATAATTTTGATTTTTTCGCAAACAAAAAAGTAGAAACCCTTTAGCAAACCCAGTTCAAACAAAACAATCACAATCTCTCGACCATACCTAATATTAACAAAAACCGAAAAGCACAAACTCACAATCAGTCAATTTCCAATGATAACAAGAATACTCAAACATATCATTCTGAAAACTACCCATTTTTTCAAAAAACAAACAATTCGAAATAATCAATAGACGAATAAACAGAAATAACCAAAATTCACTTCTCGGAAGATGAACAATATCTCAATAAAAATCAACAACAACCATATTGACCTGGTAATAAGTAATACCAATGGTACAATGGCGAAGAACCAGATGAAATTGTTCAACCAGATGATCTGGAACCACATTTAGACCCACCAACGAAAGAATCACAAAAAACTACGATTCCAATGAAACAAAAGTTTTCACCCTCAAGCCATAACGTACAAACACAAAATCCAATGTCTACTCAAAATTATCAACCCGGTTAATGAAAAATGAAATATTACTATTATATTGCTTACAACATCATCAAATTAGCAGAAAACAAATAACAAAGTTCACTCAAACACTAAATAAAGCAGACCCAAAACACAATATACAAGGCGAAGTCAAGGCTACCAACCAGAAACAATGAAACATGAAACTCTTTTGCCAAATTACTTACAACAACACGAAATTAGCCGAAATCAACTTACATGTTTTACACCCAACACAGCAGAATCCTTCCACATGACAATGAATCCATTCCTTATGGGTAGATCATCAATTAAATCAAACAAACCTCTAAAAGCTTGGACAGGAATAGTTCTCGAATACTCAGATGAACGCTGTTACAGCAAATTTAATTTTAAATATACGCCCAGAACCTTAAACTATAACTCTGTATCAAAACAGGATTCATAGACTTACAGCACTAATAGAAACCATACTAGACTCGAAAATGGTTTCCAGTTTCACTATTCGAGCAGCTCGAAAATGGTTTCCAGTTTCACTATTCGAAACTAAACCAGATTGAAAAGGTTTTTTACCCGTAATTTCAAAAATGTTCGTTTCAGAAAGGAACAAACAGCTTCAAAGAGTTTTATGCAATGAAAACCGTACCTTACCAAGTAAAACAATCAAACAACTCCTTGGAAGATTAGAAATACCTGTAAGAGAAGCACATTCTTCAATAACACATCTTAAATATTAAATGACAGTCGGAATGTGCTATGGACGCATTGTTCAACTGAACGCATTGTTTGAGCTTTGTCGAAAGCAACGTTTAAAAAATTGTTAAGGCGTAACGTTCAAGAGAAGGACAACAATGGTCTAAAACTTTCAATTTTTCGTAAGTCTGGAATATGCTAGAACTTTTTTTGCTAAAAATTAAATTCTTTAGACAAGATGAACCAATTCGTTTTCAAGGCTAGACAGTGCTTGTCCATTTTCCCTGCACAGATTTTTTGCAAACCGACCTGGGTCATGAAAAGTTGTGAAAAATTTCAAAGTTTCATCGCTTGCATTGCTCGCCTAGAAAAACATAAACTTTTCGCCAACCGATTTTCTCTATGTAATAATTTGACATTTTTCAAACTTTCATCAAATGAATACCGTGCTGAGAGAAATTTTGAAATCACTCAAGCTATTTAATAGAGCGTCTCGTTTTGCAAAAAATTTAAGTTTCTTAACATGTTTCAGCAAATTTTTTGCGAACCGATTTGATCTACGAAACAACTTGAAAAACTTAAAGTTTCAGAGCTTGAACAGATTGCTTGGAAAAATTGAAAATTTTTGACAGTCGAATTGCCCTTTGAAACACCTTGGCTTTTTTTCAAGTTCAATCACATGAGTGGCGTGCTAAAAAAAAACTTGAAATAGTTAAATTTATCTCACAGATCGAATCGTTTTGCTAAAAGCTTAAGTTTTTTCAACAAAACTTTTGCAAATATTTGGTGAGCAAGACTTATGCAAAATAGTTTGACTTTTAAAATAACTGGATAACCTTCTGCTTTTCAAGAAACGATTCGGTCTTTGAATTAACTTGAAACAATTCAAAACTCTAAGGCTTCAAAAGCTTGCTTAGAAAAACTTGAAGCTTTTTGCGAACTATTTTGATTTATGAAACAATTTGAAATAATTCAAAATTTCATAACTTTAAAAAATTGATCAGAAAAATTCAAGTTTTCGCGAGCCGACTCAGTCTATGATTTAACTTAAAGTCTGTGATTAAGCAAATAATTTAAAGTTTCGTACCTTTAAACGCATGCTTAAAAAACGTAGAACTTTTCGTCAGCCGATTTGGTCCACAAAAAAAAACATAAAAAATTTCAACGTTTCATAGCTTAAAAATTTTGTTTAGAAAGATTCAAGTTTTTCGCAAGCTGATTCAGTTTATAGAATAACTTGATAATTTTTGAAACTTCTAGCTAAAGAAGCTTGATTAGAAGAACTTAAACTTTCGCGAAAAGATTCAATCTATGAAAAAACTTTCAATATTTCTAAGAGTCGTAGCTTTAAAACCTTGCTTAGAATAACTGAAACTTTTCGCGAAACAATACGATCTCCCAATCAACTTGAAAAATCCTAAGTTTCATAGCTTTAAAAATTTGCTTAAAAAACTTGATTTTTTTGCGAACTGATTCGATCTACCAATTAAAATGGAAAATTTTTAGTTTCGTAGCATGACTAGCTTGCTTAGAAAAACTGAAAATTCTCACCAGTCAATTTTCTCTATGAAACAGATTGACCTTTTTCAAAGTTTTTCATACCGTGCTATGAAAAACTTTGAAATATTTCAAACTACTTCATAGACCGTAACGTTTTGCAAAAAACTTAGGTTTTTTCAGCAAAACTTTTCCCAAACTTTTTTGGCAAACTTTTCGCAAACCAATTTGATCTATGAGGTAATTTAAATATTTCAAAGTTTCAGAGATTGAAAAACTTTTTTAGAAACACTGAAAATATTTGAATTGCTCCATGAAACAACTTGGCGTTTTTCAAAGTTTCATCACATGAGTAGCGTGCCCAAAAAAAGCTGAAAATTTTTCAATTTAACTCATAGGTCTAATCGTTTTCCAGAAAGCTCAAAATTTTGAAACAAAACTTTTGCCAGCAATTGATTTTTGAAATAAATTGAAATAATAAAACTTTTCAGAGCTTTAATAGCTCGCGGAGATAAACTAAGGCTTTTCCCAAAACGATTCGGTCTATGAAACAACTTGAAACTATTCGGAAATTTATAGCTTGAAAAGCTTGCTTATAAAAACATTAAGCTTCTTGCGAACTAATTCGGTTTATGAAACAACTTGAAACAATTCAAAGTTTCATAATATGAAAACTTTGATCAGCAAAACTTTTCGCGAGCCGATTCAGTAATTGTTGTTACTTTCATAATAAAGCAATTCTTTAAAATTATCAGGTTATCAAGCAAGAGCGCTAAGCCATGGATGAAAAATGCAAAAATGGCAGCGCTCAAGTTTCATAATCTTAAAGGTCCTGAGTTCGAGCCTCACAGGTCGCAGTTCAAAAAAAAACTTCTTCTTTGGCTTTTTATCGAATCATTAATTATCAAAAAATAAGAAAAAAACACGCAAAATTTATATTCAATTAACGCGTTCAGAACCAAATTCATTGTTGTTAATTCAAATAAATATCAACCCATTACAAATATCAGAATTGCCCGCAGTCGCGCAAAACGAGGGTGACAAATGCAAGAGATGTTCACATGAAAACAGTTCACTCGAGTTTTGAGTTTTTTTTTTGTTTTGGCGAAAAAATATGTTTTTATGCGATCACCAAAACAATGGAAACAGACACAAAAGAGTCGAAGAACAAATTAAAAACGCGCTCGACCATGGCGCAGTCGGCAGCGTGTAAGTCTCATGATCTTAAAGGCTTGAAGTTGAGCCTCACTGGTTGCTGTTCAAGAAAAACAGTTTTCTTTGCTTAATATTGAACTATAAAAGATTGAAAAAAATCAAAAAAATTACAAGCAAAAACTAATATCAACTGAAGCGTTTAGAAACGAAATAATTGTTTTTACTTTCATAATTGAGCAGTTCTATAAAATTAACCGGTTATCGAGCAAGCGCGCTAAAAGAGGGATGTAAAATGCAACAATGGCAGCGCGTAGGTTTCATAATCTTGAAGGTCCTGAGTTCGAGTCTCACAGGTCACAGTTCAAGAAAAAAATTTTCTTTTGCTTTTTTTGAATCATTTTTAGTCAAGAAAAAAGAAAAAAAACACGCACATTTTATAATCAACTAACGCGTTCACAACCAAATTCATTGTTGTTAGTTTAAATAAATATCAACCCATTACAAATATCAGATTTTCCCGCAGTCGCGCAAAAAAAAGGTGGAAAATGCGAGAGATGTTCACATGAAAACAGTTCATTTGAGTTTTTTTAAATTTGGGGGAAAAAAAATTTTTGGGCGATCACAAGAATAATGGCAACAGACCCAAAAAAGAGTCAAATAACTAACAGACAAGGAAAGCGACCAAGGCGCAGACCAAATTGATTGTTGTTAGTTCAAATGAAAGTCAACCCATTAAGAAATGAGATTTTCCCGCAGTCGCGCAAAAAGAGGGTGATAAATGCATGAGATGTTCACATGAAAACAGTTCATTTGAGTTTTTTTAGTTTTGTGAAAAAATTTTTTTTTGCGCAATCACGGAAATAATGGAAACAGACACAAAAAAGAGTCGAAGAACAAATTAACAACGCGCTCGACCATGGCGCAGTCGGCAGCGTGTAAGTCTCATGATCTTAAAGGCTTGAAGTTGAGCCTCACTGGTTGCTGTTCAAGAAAAACAGTTTTCTTTGCTTAATATTGAACTATAAAAGTTTGAAAGAAATCAAAAAAATTACAAGCAAAAACTAATATCAACTGAAGCGTTTAGAAACGAAATAATTGTTTTTACTTTCATAATTGAGCAGTTCTATAAAATTAATCGGTTATCGAGCAAGCGCGCTAAAAGAGGGATGTAAAATGCAACAATGGCAGCGCGTAGGTTTCATAAGCTTGAAGGTCATGAGTTCGAGTCTCACAGGTCGCAGTTCAAGAAAGAAATTTTCTTTTGCTTTTTTTGAATCATTTTTAGTCAAGAAAAAAGAAAAAAGCCCGCACAATTTATAATCAACTAACGCGTTCACAACCAAATTCATTGTTGTTAGTTTAAATAAATATCAACCCATTACAAATATCAGATTTTGCCGCAGTCGCGCAAAAAAAAGGTGGAAAATGCGAGAGATGTTCACATGAAAACAGTTCATTTGAGTTTTTTTTAAATTTGGGAAAAAAAAAAAATTTTGGGCGATCACAAGAATAATGGTAACAGACCCAAAAAAGAGTCAAATAACTAACAGACAAGGAAAGCGACCAAGGCGCAGACCAAATTGATTGTTGTTAGTTCAAATGAAAGTCAACCCATTAAAAAATGAGATTTTCCCGCAGTCGCGCAAAAAGAGGGTGATAAATGCATGAGATGTTCACATGAAAACAGTTCATTTGAGTTTTTTTAGTTTTGTGAAAAAAATTTTTTTTGCGCAATCACGGAAATAATGGGAACAGACACAGAAAAGAGTCAAAGAACTAACGCGCAACGCACGCGACCATGGCGCAGACGGTAGCGGGTAAGTCTCAAAATCTTACGGTCGTGAGTTCGAGACTCACTGGTCGCAGGTCAGGAAAAAAATTTTTCTTTGCTTCATATCGAACTTTTAAAACTTAAAAGTTGTGAAAAAACTTACAAGCAAAAACTATAATCAACTGTAGCGTTTGGAACTGAAAAAATTGTTGTTAGCCTAATAAAAAACCAGTTCTTTAAAATTATCCGATTATCGAGCAAGCGCGCTAAGAGAGGGATGAAAAATGCAAAAATGGCAGCGCGTAAGTTTCATAATCTTAAAGGTCCTGAGTTCGAGCCTCACAGGTCGCAGTTCAAAAAAAAATTTTTCTTTTGCTTTTTATCGAATTGTTAATTATCAAAAAATAAGAAAAAAAACACGCAAAATTTATAATCAATTAACGCGTTCAGAACCAAATTCATTGTTGTTAATTCAAATAAATATCAACCCATTACAAATATCAGATTTTCCCGCAGTCGTGCAAAAAAAGGGTGACAAATGCAAGAGACGTTCACATGAAAACAGTTCACTTGAGTTTTGAGTTTTTTTTAGTTTTGGCGAAAAAATATGTTTTTGTGCGATCACCGAAACAATAGAAACAGACGCAAAAAAGAGTCGAAGAACAAATTTACAACGCGCGCGACCATGGCGCAGTCGGCTGCGCGTAAGTCTCATGATCTTAAAGGCTTGAAGTCGAACCTCACTTGTCGCTGTTCAAGAAAAACAGTTTTCTATGCTTAATATTGAACTTTAAAAGTTTGAAAAATATCAAAAAAATTCCAAGCAAAAACTAATATCAATTGAAGCGATTAGAAACGAAATAATTGTTGTTACTTTCATAATTGAGCAGTTCTATAAAATTAACCGGTTATCGAGCAAGCGCGCTAAAAGAGGGATGTAAAATGCAAAAATGGCAGCACGTAGGTTTCATAATCTTAAAGGTACTGAGTTCAAGTCTCACAGGTCGCAGTTCAAAAAAAAAAATTTCTTTTGCTTTTTTGAATCATTATTAGTCAAGAAACAAGAAAAAAACACGCACAATTTATAATCAACTAACGCGTTCACAACCAAATTCATTGTTGTTAATTTAAATAATTATCAACCCATTACAAATATCAGATTTTCCCTCAGTCGCGCAAAAAAAGGGTGGCAAATGCGAAAGATGTTCACATGAAAACAGTTTTTTTTTAAATTTGGGGAAAAAAAGAAATTTTTGGGCGATCACAAGAATAATGGTAACAGACCCAAAAAAGAGTCAAATAACTAACAGACAAGGAAAGCGACCATGGCGCAGACCAAATTGATTGTTGTTAGTTCAATTGAAAGTCAACCAATTAAAAAATGAGATTTTCCCGCAGTCGCGCAAAAAGAGGGTGATAAATGCATGAGATGTTCACATGAAAACAGTTAATTTGAGTTTTTCTAATTCTGTGAAAAAATTTTTTTTTGCGCGATCACCGAAATAATGGGAATAGACACAAAAAAGAGTCAAAGAACTAATGCGCAACGCATGTGACCATGGCGCAGACGGTAGCGGGTAAGTCTCAAAATCTGAAGGTCGTGAGTTCGAGACTCACTGGTCGCAGGTCAGGAAAAGAAATTATCTTTGCTTCATATCGAACTTTTAAAACTTAAAAAATGTGAAAAAAATTACAAGCAAAAACTATAATCAACTGTAGCGTTTGGAACTGAAAAAATTGTTGTTAGCTTAATAAAAAATCAGTTCTTTAAAATTATCCGATTATCGAACAAGCGCGCTAAAAGAGGAATGAGAAGGTCGTGAGCTCGAGCCTCACAGGTCGCAGTTCAAGAAAAACTTTTTTTTGCTTTTATCGAATTATGACTGATTGAAAATCAAGAAAAAAAACACGCAAAAAATATAATCAACTAACGCGTTCAGAATCAGTTTGATTTTTGTTAGTTCAATTAAAAGTCAACGCATTAAAATTATCAGATTTTTCCGCAGTCGGGCAAAAAAAGTGTGAAAAACGAAACAGATGTTCACATGAAAACAGTTCATTTGAGTTTATTTAGCTTTGGGGAAAAAATAAAGATTTGTGCGACCACCAAAATAATGGAAACAGACAAAAAAACAGAGTCAAAGAGCCAACCGACAACGCACGCAAATATGGCCCACTTGGAAGCGTGTTCGAGCCTCACTGGTCGTAGTTCAAGAAAAATCATTTTCTTTGCTTCGAACCGAACTAACGCGTTCAGAACCAATTTGATTTTTGTTAGTTCAAATGAAAGTCAACGCATTTAAAATATCAGATTTTTCCGCAGTCGCGCAAAAAGAGTGTGAAAATGCAAGACATGTTCACATGAAAACAGTTCAATAGAGTTTTTCTTAGATTTGGTGATAAAATAAAATTTTTGCGACCACCAAAATTATGGGAACAGACACAGAACAGAGTCAAAGAGCCAACCGACAACGCACGCGAAAATGGCCTAGTAGGCAGCGCGTAAATCGCACATTCTTGAGGTCGTGTGTTCGAGCCTCACTAGTCGCAGTTTAAGAAAAACCATTTTCTTTGCTTCAAATCGAACTAAAAAAAAATTAAAACAAAAACTCCAAGCAAATCTATAATCAACTGAAGCGTTAAGAACCGAAGTAAACGTTGTTACTTTCAAAATAAATCAATCTTTAAAATTTTCCGAACATCGAGCAAGCGCGCTAAACAAGGGATGAAAAGGTCGTGAGCTTGAGCCTCACAAGTCACAGTTCAAGAAAAATTTTTCTTTTGCTTTTTATCGAATTATGAGTCATTGAAAAACACGAAAAAAACACGTAAAATATATAGTCAACTAACGCGTTCAGAACCAATTCGATTTTCGTTAGTTTATTATAAATTTTGCTTGTTATTTTTTTTGGTTTCTTGATATTTCAAAATTCGATAAAAAGCGAAGGAAAAGTTTTTCTTGAACAGCAACCTGTGAGGCTCGAACTGACGACCTTAAGAATATGAGACTTACGCGCTGCTGTTTTTGCGTTTTTCATTGCTCTTTTAGTGCGCTTGCTCGATAAATGGAAATTCGAAAGAACTGATTTATTATAAAATTAAGAGCTATTATTTTGGTTCTAAACGCTTCGGTTCATTAGAGTTTTTTTGCTTGTAAAACTTTTATATATTTTAAAAAAAATTTTATAGTTGGATAAAAAGCAAAAAAAAAGTTTTTCTTAAACTGCGACCAGTGAGTCTCATACTCACGACCTTACGATTATGAGACTTATGCGTTCATTGGTTGTTGGTTCTTTGACACTTTTTTTGTGTGTTTCCATTATTTCAGTGATAGCACAAAAGTTTAATTTTTCTCCTAAAACTGATGAAAAATATCAAATGAACTGTTTTTTCATGTGAACGTCTCTTGCATTTGTTACCTTTTTTTTGCGCGACTGCGGTAAACTCTGATATTTTTAATGGGTTGATTTTTAAAATAAAAAACAACAATCAATTTGGTTCTGAGTCGGTTAGTTGATTATTAATTAAGCTTGTTATTTTTTTCTTGTCTCTTGATATTTCATAATTCGATAAAAAGCGAAGGAAAATTTTTTCCTTGAACTGAGACCTGTGAGGATCGAACTCACGACCTTAAGAAAATGAGACTTTAGCGCTGCCGACTGCTCCATGGTAACCTGCCTAGTCTGTTAGTTCTTTGACTCTTTTTGTGTCTGTTCCCATCATTTCGGTGATGGCACAAAAATTTAATTTTTTCCTAAAACTAAAACAACTCAAACGAACTGTTGTTATGTGAACATCTCTTGCATTTGTCACCCTCCTTTTGCGCGACTGCAGTAAAATCTGTTGTTTTCAATGGGTTAATTTTCAATTGAACTAACAGCAATCAACTTTGTTCTGAATGCGTTGGTTGAGTATAAATTTTGCGTGTTATTTTTTCTTGTTTTTCGATTTTTCATAATTCGATAAAAAGCAAAGGAAAAAGATTTTCTTGAACAGCGACCTGTGAGGCTCGAACTCACGACCTTAAGAAAATAAGACTTAAGCGCTGCCGACTGCGTCATGATTACCTGACTTGTCTGTTAGTTCTTTGACTCTTTTTGTGTCTGTTCCCATCATTTCGGTGATGGCACAAAAAATTTAATTTTTTCCTAAAATTAAAAAAAACTCAAACGAGCAATTTTTATGCGAACATCTCTTGCATTTGTCACCCTCTTTTTGCAGGACTGAGGTAAAATCTGATGTTTTCAATGGGTTGATTTTCTATTGAACTAACAATAATCAATTTGGTTCTGAATGCGTTGGTTGAGTATAAATTTTGCGTGTTATTTTTTTTCTTGTTTTTCGATTTTTCATAATTCGATAAAAAGTAAAGGAAAAAATTTTTCTTGAACTGCGACCGTTGAGGCTCAAACTCACGACCTTAAGATTACGAGTCTTCTGCGCTGCCGTTCTTGAGTTTGTCATCCTTTTTTTGGCCCGCTTGCTGCTCGAGAGTCCGATGTTTTTAAAGAATTGATTTGTTATTAGACAGACAACATTTAATTTGGTTCTAAACGCTTCAGTGGATTATAGTTTTTGCTTGTATTTTTTTCATTTAAAAAAAATTTTAAGTTCGATATGAAGCAAATAAAATAGTTTTTCTTTAACTGCGACCAATGGGGCTCATACTCACGACTTTAAGATTGTGAGTCTTACGCGCTGCCGACTGCGCTATGGTCGCGTACATTGTTTGTGGATTCTTTGACACTTTTTGTCTGTTCCCATTTTTTTGGTGAGCGCACAAAAATTTAGTTTTTTTTTCTCACAAAACTAATAAAAATATCAAATGAACTGTTTTTATGTGAACGTCTCTTGCATTTGTTACCTTCTTTTTGCGCGACTGCGGTAAACTCTGATGTTTTAATAGGCGGTAAACTCTGATGTTTTAATGGGATTTTTGTTAGTTCAAATGAAAGTCAACGCATTTAAAATATCAGATTTTTCCGCAGTCGCGCAAAAAGAGTGTGAAAATGCAAGACATGTTCACATGAAAACAGTTCAATTGAGTTTTTCTTAGATTTGGTGATAAAATAAAATTTTTGCGACCACCAAAAT